AATAGAAATTTTAGAATAGTGATTGATGTGAGAATGTGTGGTGGAAAAGTGATGAAAAGTTTTTGATTTGTGTGTAATATTATTTTATTTGGAGAATGTGTGGTTGAAATGAAGAATGAGAATGAGAATGGAAATGAGAAAGAGAAATTAATGGGTGCCAAACGGGGGTTTAGTGTTCCCATAAAAGGCACCTCATTTCCTATAATTAAGCCCCCTATAAGGTTTGAATTAAAATATTAAAATCCTTCAAAACCAATAATTAATCTTAATTATACATAAAATTCATAACTTTTATCAATTTTTCAAATACATATTTATTATCCAAATCAACAGAATCTCGATCACCTCTTCTCTGCATAGGCATCACTTGTGCACTTAAACGCCCATCGGCTGAGAAAAAGGTTCGACAACCGTTTTCATTTTGACGATCAAGTAAACAACCGGACAAGATACAGAATAAATACAAGAGACGGAGGTTATAATAATCTTCATGCATTGATTGTGAATAAACTAGACGAACATAAAGGAGAATGGCCCAAGTGAGTTAGTGAATTGAATCTAAGCCTAGGCCAAAATAGTAGTTATCTAATTTAGCCCCGGTTTGGCCCCCATTATTTTGCATTTTTGGGGGTTGAAAATTTTTAGAATAATGATTGATGGGAGAATGCGTGGTTGAAATTTTTTATTTATGTGTAATATTNTTTTGCATTTTTTATGGTTAAAATTTTTTGGAATAGTGATTGATGGGAGAATGTGTGGTGGAAAAGTAATGAAAAGTTTTAAATTTGTGTGTAATATTATTTTATTTGATGAATATGTAGTTGAAATGAAGAGAGAGAAAAATTTAATGTAATTTAATGGAGGCCAAACAAGAGCTTAATTAGCACAATTCAATTGAATATCGAGTCGAGTCGGTATATGTGAGATCCCTCCGTGATACGTACATGCCACATAATTTGTAGACATAACAATAATTTCCCAAATCTGAGTCATACATTCATGTGTAGGTCGAACTTTGAAATATAAGTTGTCACTAACTGAGGGCTTATGAATTGTCTCGAAAATATAAACTACCGTGAGTAGATAAATAACTGTAAATAGTCTCCCAAGTATGAGGGCTTACAAATCTCCTCTAAAACATGAGCAACTCTAATAAGTGAGGGATTACAAACTACTTCAAAAATATCACGCTATGATCTACCAAAATTTTGACAATATCTCTTTTGTAATATGAACTAAACCTACATGAAATAAAATACTATATCTCCATTGCACCTATATGAAATAAATTAGGGGACCATTTGACTCTTCCAAATACTCATGACGATAATGTAAATAATAGCAAATCAAACTTCTTCAAGATATAGGGCTCGTTTGAGCCTCATATTGGGAAAAAAGTGCATTTTGAATAAGTAGATTGATAGAGGATGTGCAATTAAAAAATAAGAAATTTTTTTAAATCTGCGTGTAATATTATTTTATTGAAAAATGTGTGGTTGAAAATGAATTAAAAAAAAAAAAAGGGGCTCAAACAAGGGCATAATATACAAATAGCCTATCATGTATCATATCAAGTAATATGTTGCGATAATAAAATGGTAATGTAGATAAAATGGCATACATGCTGACTGTAATGAAAATATGGTTATAAAATGCTAACGGTGATGTGACATGCATGCCCAACCACAATAATATAATGCATTTGCTAGCAGTGACAATGTAATGCAATTAGGATGCTAGCATCACAATAATTTATAGAGCATAGGTGTGAATATTCATATAATACGTAGATTTTGGTTAGAGGAGAGATCCTAAATATAAATATCTATGATTAAACTTATGCAAAGTTGAGACTTTGAATATATAAGCAGTTGTGGTGAAGTTAATACAGAGGTGAGGCTTTGAATATAAGTCGGCTTCCCAGGTTTGAAGGTGAGCTCCCGTTAGGATGATTCGCATCTCTCCTGTCGAGGTGACAAAAGACTTCCTTGCATGGAGTTGTTCATCCAAGTCAATGGCTTTGTATATAGTGGATGATTCATTCATACAGGGTATAACGAAGTCTTCCTCGTAGGTTTCGAGGTAGGCTCCATTTGGGATGCTTCACACATCTTCGTCGATGTGACAAAAAGATTTTCTTGTATGGGAGTGCCTCATCCATACCAAAAGCTTCATGTATGATAGATGGTTCATCCATGCATAATATAATACGAGCTTTATGAAGATTGATGTAGCTATGGCACAGGGGATTGTAGACGGCTTGTAGATGCATTGGAAGTGAAAAACTTGCCTCGCTTGGAGAAGTGGTGAGGCGGGGGGATACACACCACTCAATTTCTATTAAAATCAACTAAAATTTTGATTTTTAGCAACACAAAAAGGAGTAAATCATAATTGTTTGGTCAAAAAATCTAATGGCTAGATGCTAGTCCCTTCTCTTGAAAGAAAGAAAGAAAGAAAGAAAGAAAAAAAAGGTTAGGCATAGGGTTGCCTTTTCTGATCAGGTGACACTCGATACTATAATTTTCGAAAAAGTCACCTTATATTAGTTTCCTTTAAAAATTATTCTAACTGGGTAAAACACTTCAAAAAATTATTCAAATAACTTTGAAAATAATTTCTTAATCTTAAAGTATTTTTTCACCTTTCAAAAGTCTTGTCAAACAAATTCTAATCATATATTTATCGTTTATCTTAATTCCAATTGTTACCATTAAAAATTTATGCGTGCAGCATGCTAAATACTAGTTCATTACGTCACTAGTGTTCAATAACCCATGTCGTGCATGAGGCTAAACTACTTTGCAATGAAGAACTTCCAATTAGAGAAAATAAAGTCCGAAGAAATCAATGCTTTGCAGCATAGAAGTATTACTCTTTTCCATTTTTGGGTTCCACAAGATTTTGTTAGGAATAGGAAAAACGAGTCTCAAAATGAATGTGCCCTCTACATCGTTGGCCACGACGTGGATCTTACTTGAGTATTGTTTCTGAGTTGGATGATGAGTATGTACAAGTATTAATTCAAATATCACATCATACCGTGATCATCTTTAGTTGAGATAAATAGTATTATACATTGTAATAAGGGGAAATAGGATGGGGTGGCAAGATTGACCTTAGAAAGTGTTCACGTGAGCGATACGTGCTTATTTGACTGTTCAAGGAAGGTCTTCCATGCATCAAAATTGAAAATTTGAAGTTCTAATCACCTCACAAATTTGATTAGGACCCAGGGGCGGAACCAACTCATTGAAATAGGGGGTCCCAAAATTAAAGGAGTGGGGGCTCACGGGCTGCCCTCGAAATTTTTTTTTTGAAACATTATGTGTTAAAATGAGGAAAGTTGATACTTTGTGATAGAGAAAGGAAACAACGGAA